TGCTGCTCGGACTTGTCGGTCCAATCGGCCCCTGGCATCTGTCGATGCACTTTGCAGGGGCCCTTTGTTCTGATGGTTCGGAATTGTTTGCTTATAATTATGTAAGACTTTTATATTGGATTCCAACCAACGTTTAAAGCCATCACAAGAAACCAACAAATGGTGTTGCGACAAACCTTGCAGCTTTTTGACTTAATTACTGAAATCGACCCTTCCCTGAGTCAAGGCACCAGGAAACAACGTCGCACTTCCGAGCCATCCGCTTTGCAAAAAAATAGTCCGGGCAGCGCAAGCCGCTGCCACAGGCATGGTCACAGCATGTAAGCCCTTGTCCCTTGTCTGATCAATTTCTTTTTCCCCACATCTTTGTGTGGGGTTCTTGTTTTTGATTCTGTATCCGTCCGGCCTCCGTCACGCCACCTCCGCCGCCTCTTTGTCACACACCATCTTGCACAACTTTGTCACACACCATCTGTCACACACACACAACTTTGTCACACACCATCTTTCACACACAACTTTGTCACACACCATCTTTCACACACAACTTTGTCACACATCATCTTTCACACAACTTCGTCACACACCATCTTTCACACACAACTTTGTCACACACTCTCTTTCACGCGCAACTTGTGACGCCGCGGCACTTTGCGTGGCAGGCGTGGCACTTGGCGACAAAATCAAAAATATGCACCATCTTGCAGGATCTCTTCTCAAATGAAAAAACTTGAATTTTGTAGGTCTGTTGGTCTGTGACTTCTCTTGTGTCACGATAAGGATCACTACAAAATGCAAACGCTAAAAAACGAGGCGTTCCAATTCGATCAGTGGGATCTACTTAAAAATCACCACAAAAATGAAGGGCCTGTTCTCAAATCTCTTCGTTTTTTTAGGAACCCTTTATCCAGGCTGGGTTGCACTTTTGTAGCTTTTTTTTAAAGCCGTAGCACAAATGATGCACCATCAATTATCTTGATTCTATCACAGATTGCTGGAGCAAGTAGGTTGATCACCGATGGCCCGATGCATCTCCTCGAAAACAACGACTTGAGAACAGAGTTTATGAGGTCTAAAAAGATAACAATATCTAATGTTTATAAAAAGACATGATATAACGATCGGCCATTCAGGATTGAGACATCTCTTAGTGCAGAAAGATCAATGGATGCAATAAAGAAGGAAAAAAATCGAACGAAGAGGTTACACACCTACAGTAGATCCACTGTTTATGTAAATATCAACATACACATATATATATATTTATTTATATGTGTATGCCTCTACCATCTAGCTATGCCTATCTGTATAAATCTAGACCCCTTAAATTGGACCCACCCTGATCTGATTCACATCGAAGGAGATGGTTGTCGGCACGGTGCTGGAGCTTCAGCGCCTGCGGCGAGTCAAGAAGCTGCTGTCAGCAGCCGCTCGCCAAGCCCTCGCTTTGCGGAGGGACCGCCAACGCCGGCAGGCGTGGCCCAGGAGGATTGCCCGGCACGTAAGAGCACTCCTGGGTCGGGTGAGGCAGCTGGACCAAGCTGACCAAGCCTGAGGCCGGGGAGTGGGGCTGGGGCCCGGAATGCGCACGAGCACTCACTTAATTTTTCGCGAAGGGCAACTTTCCATCTTCCATGTAACGATATTTCAAACCGTTAAAATTATAAGCATTGGTGTGCAACTTCAAGACTTGGCATTCGAAATTCCTATTTGGCAAGACTAGTTGTATATATTAAAAGCCCGGTCTTTACATCCTGGACACCCCGAAAACATTGACTGTACACCATGATATAGATCGAAGGATGTAGTGGCCATTCCACTTCGCTAAAGATTGCGACATCCCCAACTCCCATCCACTGGCCTCTTCACACGGCACATTCCCGCACGGTTTCCCCCGTCAGGAGAAGAAAAGGGCCGAGACTGAGCACTGAGGACGGCTTTGGGAACCGACGTGATATATATATATATAGAAAAAATAGAGAAAGAAACCAATAAGTTCTTCAAAGGTCTTAAAACATAGTATATATATATATGCATATGCATGTATGTATATCAACCGATCTGATACTACCAGCCCACGAATCAGAATTCCGCTACCTCAGCACCATCATGGCACCACGTAGACCTCAGAAATCACGAAAGAGCCCCCATCGCTATACAATCCCAGAGAAGATGTGTGATATTATACTTTGCACCGATCCAAAGATGATGAAGATAGAGAGAGAGAGAGAGAGCGGCGAGAGAATGAGAATGCGTCCTTACATGAATGCACGCATATAAACATCTTGTAATGATACCGGACGACGGAAATTTTCCAAAAGAAAGTCGAATGACCATATCGCCCTGCCAACGCGCCCCGCCGCAGGAAGACCGCAGTACAGAAGTCGCCGCACAGGCCCCCCTCCCACCGGACGAGCACAAAGCCGTCCGGTGGGAGGGGGGTGACAGGCGCAAAAACACCAAGAGCAAGGCAGCAGCAGGAACAGAGAAAAAAGACGATGTTGTGGCGAATGTGGGTGTCCCCCATGAAGAGAAAGTCGATCTATCTGTCTGTCTGTCTATCTATCTATCTATCTATCTATCTATTTATGTATCTATCATATCCTATCTATTTGTCTTGTCCTATCTATTTTTCTAATCCTATCTATCTATCTAATCCTGTCTATCTATCCAATCCTATCTATCCATCTCATCCTATTTATCTATCCAATCCTTTCTATCTATCTATCTATTATCTATCTATCTATCTATCTATCTATCTATCTATCTATCCACCTATCGATCTATCGATCTATCGATCTATCGATCGATCGATCTATCGATCTATCTCTCTATCTATCCGTTTGTCTGTCTCTCTGTCTATCCATCTATCCATCTATCTTTTCTATCTTTCTATCTATCTATCTATCCATCTATCTATCTATCTAATCCTATCTTTTTGTCTTATCCTATATATTTTTCTAATCCTATCTATCTATCTAATCCTGTCTATCTATCTAATCCTATCTATCTATCTATTATCTATCTATCTATCTATCTATCTATCGATCTATCTCTCTATCTCTCTATCTATCTATCTATCTGTCTGTCTGTCTATCTGTCTATCTGTCTATCCATCTATCTTTCTATCTTTCTATCTTTCTATCTATCTATCTATCTATCTATCTAATCCCATCTATCTATCTCATCCTACCTATCTATCTAATCCTATCTACCTTTCTAATCCTATCTATCTATCTAATCTAAATCTAAATCTAAATGTAAATCTAAACCTAAATCCAAATCTCATCTAAATCTAATCCAATCTAATCTAATCTAAATCTAAATCTAACCTAATCTAATCTAATCGAACCCTATCTAATCTAATCCTATCTATCTAATCCTATCTATTTTTTCCTATCCATTTACTCCTATCTATCTATTCCTATCTAGCTACTCCTATCTATCTATTCCTATCTAATCTATCTGTCTATCCATCCATCCATCCATCCATCCACCTATCTATCTATCTAATCCTATCTATTCCTATTCCTAATCCTATTCCTATTCCTATTTCTATCTATCTACCTCATCCTGTTTATCTATCTTATCCTGTCTGTTTGTCTGTCTGTCTGTCTGTCTGCTTGTCTGTCTATCTATCTATCTATCTGTCTATCTGTGTATCTGTCTATCTGTCTATCTGTCTATCTATCTGTCTATCTATCTATCTATTTATCTATCTATCTATCCATCTATCTATCTATCTATCTAAACCTATCTATTTGTCTTATCCTATCTATTTTTCTAATCCTATCTATCTATCTAATCCTATCTATCTGATCCTATCTATCTAATCCTATCTATCTAATCCTATCTATCTAATCCTATCTATCTAATCCTATCTATCTGATCCTATCTATCTAATCCTATCTATCTAATCCTATCTATCTAATCCTATCTATCTAATCCTTTCTATCTAATCCTATCTATCTAATCCTATCTATCTAATCCTATCTATTTAATCCTATCTATCTAATCCTATCTATCTAATCCTATCTATTTAAACCTATCTATCTAATCCTATCTATCTAATCCTATCTATCTAATCCTATCTATCTAATCCTATCTATCTAATGCTATCTATCTAATCCTATCTATCTAACCCTATCTATCTAATGCTATCTATCTAATGCTATCTAATGCTATCTATCTAATCCTATCTATCTAATCCTATCTATCTAATGCTAGCTATCTAATGCTATCTATCTAATGCTAGCTATCTAATGCCATCTATCTAATGCTATCTATCTAATGCTATCTATCTAATCCTATCTATCTAATCCTATCTATCTATCTATCTATCTATCTATCTGTCTATCTATCTATCTATCTATCTACTTCTATCTACTTCTATCTAATCCTATCTAATCCTATCTAATCCTTTCTAATCCTATCTATTCCTGTTCCTATGTAGCTATCTAGCTATCTATCTATCTATCCATCTATCTATCTATATGCTCGTGTGTATGAATATGTATAAATATATATGTGTGTGTGTGCGCGTATGTAGTGTAATGTCATGCAATACAATGCAATGTACTGCAATGTAGTGTAATTTAGTGTAGTATAGTGTAGTGCAATTTAATGTAGTGTAATGTAATGTATGTATGTGTGTACATGTATAGATAGATCGGAATAGATAGGAATAGATAGGAATAGATAGGAATAGATAGGAATAGATAGGAATAGATGGGAATAGATGGGAATAGATGGGAATAGATGGGAATAGATGGGAATAGATGGGAATAGATGGGAATAGATGGGAATAGATGGGAATAGATGGGAATAGATGGGAATAGATGGGAATAGATGGGAATAGATGGGTATAGATGGGTATAGATGGGTATAGATGGGTATAGATGGGTATAGATGGGTATAGATAGGAAGAGATAGGAAGAGATAGCAAGAGATAGATATAGATAGGTAGATAGATAGATAGATATACATGACCCACATGATCCATGTCTGGCCGACAGGTCCTATGGCATGCCACAGTGCTTTTGCCCTGGACGTGGCTGCTGCAATCGTCCTGGCCCGTCTTTTCCTTGCTACGACATGTCAAGTCGGAATGGCCCAACAAGGCTCCGCACTGACCATGGCCCGATGTTGATTGGTGATGATTGATGGCTTGTATATTCACTTCAACCCCGCACATGATGGGCAATAGACATTATGGGATTGTATAGGCATGTTTGCTGTATATATGTCAGTGTTCAGTGTTCATGTAATCCCATGTAATGAAAGGTAACGCTATGCTGTGCTATGATATGTTAGTGATGTGATGGCACTGGCACTGGTACTGGCACTAGTAAGGGCAATGGGAATGGTATGGTCGAGGGTTCGCTTGGAGCGCCGAAAAGTGGATCGCTTAGAGCGCCGGAAAGTGGATCGCTTGGAACGCCGAAAAGTGACATAAGAGATACATAGCGCATCATAGCGCTAGAGTTCCATATATGCGCAGAGGCATATAGACACATAAATGGATGCATTCATATGTCGCCGAAGCACGCGATAACATTCGATGCGATCCGCTTTTCGGCATTACTTGACGAAGAAACGTAGCAGGAACGTCTTGCAAGTTACTTGAAGAATAGTTTTCAACGTATCAGGAACGTCTTGCAACTTACTTGAAGAAGATGATCCAACGTATCAGGAACATTTGGCAAGTTACTTGAAGAAGATGTTACGACGTAACAGGAACATCTTGCAAGTTACTTGAAGAAGATGTTACAAGGTAGCAGGCACGTCTTGCATGTTACTTGAAGAAGATTTGACAACGTATCAGGAACGTCCTGGAAGTTACTTGAAGAAGATGTTACAACTTATCAGGAACGTCTTGCAAGTGACTTGACGGAGATGTTAGAACATATTATCCGCAACGTCTTGCAAGTTACTTGACGAAGATGCTACGCCGTATCAGGAACGTCTTGCAAGCTACTTCAAGAAGATGTTACAACGTATCAGGAACGTCTTGCAAGTCACTTGACGAAGATGTTACGACGTAGCAGGAACGTCTTGCCTGTGTGTGCACAGGAACATGAACGTTATTACCCCACCCCACTCCACCCCACCGGTAACTGATCATGAAAGAGCAGTGCAGTGCCTGTGCCTGCAGGACAGCAAGAAAGATGATGAGGTTGCTGTGCCTGACTCCATGTCCCAGCCCCGTGTCCCCAAGTGTTACCCCAAAGGTATGATTCTCTGGTGCTCTAAGTGATCCACTTTCCAGTGCTCTAAGTGATCCCCTAACCCAATGGTATGGTATGGTCTGGTTTGTGTATATGTATGTGCGCGCGTGTTTTTGCAAGTATCTGCATATACTATGTGTAATCATATGTACACACATACGGACACTTTGTACTTTATATGTGCATATATTATATATATGTATAATATATATATATATTATATTATATAATATAATATAATATAATATAATATCATATAATATAACATAATATAATATAACATAATATAATATAATATAATGTAATATAATGTAATATAATATAATATAATGTAATATAATATAATATAATATAATGTAATGTAATATAATATAATATAATATATATTATATAATATATATTATATATATATGTGTGTGTGCATTTATATTTATGCACGGGTATACACATAGACGAAGATAGATACACAAGTATGGATATGCATATTCTTGCACACACATACACATAGCATACCCATCCTGGCAAACACTCCATATATAATTGGCAGATGGATCAGTTGAAGCTGCTGGACCACTGGTCTACCTGTCGCTACGCATGATTATTGACACGAAATCTAATTCACATATTTGATGTTGATGTCATACGCATGTAGGGAGAAAGATCCCAAAGTGGAGGCTCTCACTTGGCATCCTCGACCAAAACAACGCATCAGAATGGAACGTGACAGAACATTGAAGCACCCTGGAATCACGGCCTCGCTTCTGATTATGTGTATAAATGCAGTCAAAGTGAGACAAACAGTAGCCCACACATTATGTCAGCATTTCGACTAAGCTCGGATCATGGCCCATCTTCTGATATTGACATAAATCAACGCAATTCAATTGAGAAAATGTTTAAAGAGCAACAGCTAATATCTCGTTTCAAGTATTTCAGTTGTAGATTGTTTCACATTTTCCAGATTTTCTCGGATAGTTTTCTCTTTTGGGCCCATCGTCAGGGCAACTGGACCTGTGGCTCCACAAATGCGCTGCAGCAGGGTTTGGAGCAGGTGGAGCAGCTCATGTCCTCGGGCGATGGCTTCGTAGTGCCCGGTTTCACTGAGGACGCTTCAGACGGGACGATGGCGGCAATGGCGGGTGATGTTGAAAAAATGGGGAAACTATGGAAAACATTATGAAACCGTAATGGTGTGGTAGTTGAAGCAAGAAAAATGATGGATAATGATGGTACAATGGCGACATGATGAGGATATAATGGAATACCAACCACTGAAATTGGGGGAACCCTCTGGTAGTTCAACAATTTGCTATGCAGAACCACCATTTTGATTGCCAAATCATCGAACTAAATGGATCTAAATGGGTCATTTTCCATAGCAAATTGTACCAGAAGCAAACAACCCACCAAGCGCCAGTCACCTGAACCCCAGGGCCAGTACAAACGGGGGTTTGGTGAATTACTATTGTTGTTATAATGTTTTCTTTGAAGTTTAAAAAACATATTATGTATTTATATATATGTATATATCTATATTTATATTTATATTTATATACGTATGTTCTAGGGTCATTATATTTTGTCAATCTTGAAGCACCCAATATGTTTTATTATTTATGATTTTGAATCTTGATTGATGATAGCCCATGACAATTCCCCATAATCCCCAAAGTGGCTTGTGACATGAACATCCCAACCTGAAGTCACTCATTCCTGGAGGACTATGAATGCGGCTGGGTAGAGGGCTTGACACGGAGGTGGGCTTGTAGGGTGGGGAGACGGTGGGATGGCCGAAAGTTATTGAACCTGCAGCATAGTGGCATAGTGCTTGTTCAGCGTGGATCTGTTGCATGTTTTCTTGCAGTTTCTGGAATCCCAGCAACTCCTGAACCTTTTGTCTTCCATGCGTTCTCGGCAAAGTTGCTCTAGGGGTTTGAAATTTCGAATCCAGAGACCTGCAGAACTGGTGATTTTTAGCGTTTGAAGCCGTCCAACTCTTAAGACTTTAGTTTTTCTCGATGAGTTGACACAGGTCCGCGTATGATCGGACTAATCTAAGCATTCCTTCACGGCTCAGATACCACAAAGATGAATGAACTGGTTTGAGACAAAATGCGCAGTTTCTTGTACAGATTTCCCCGGAGAAAGAGAAAAACTCGCGGCTGCCAGGCTGCTGGTGGCCCGAGAGATCTACAAACAAAACTCCTTCGCCTATCGGATGTGGAACCCCAGACGGCGTTCTTTCGACTTGCTGCCTCAGGTGGGCCCTGGCGCTTTTTGTCCAAAGGATTTGGGGAGTAGCATACTGACTAGCAGTAGTAATGATAAGCACAATTGATCTGCCAGCTCTTGATACGAATTGTGATAGATTCTTAAACATCCGTTTGTGATAACTAATTGATCAATTGTTGAACATGCTGAAGCCTCAACCTTCATCCTTCAAGCACCATCTCAGGTGATGTTTCTGAAGTTTCAACCCTCCAAAGGTCCACACACTGTTTGGGTTTGTGAGAAAATGGGGCACAGCACCTCCTTCCATCCCATAGTTGAGAAAATCACAGTCCCCGGCATAAATTGAAGTTTAATCCATCAATTTTGGACAAACACCAACAGAGGTACCACCCAAAAATTGTCGGAAAACTAATTAGACACCTTTAGACTAAACTTTAGAAACACCATTTTTTGCAGAATTTTTAGTACTTGGTGGTTTCAAGTCATCTTCATTTTACGTCCCTGAGAGAGAGAGGGGGAGAGAGAGAGAGAGGGAGAAGTAAGTAAATGTTCAAACATACACATAGGATGGTTTCTTCAAGCACCAACCAGGTCGAAGGCTTCGTCACAGTCTTGGAAGGCAGGAAAAGATGACCGGAGAAGTCCATGGGATGTTAACAACCAGCGTTTTTGTTGGGTAAGCAAGACACATGGATGTAAAAATCCATGAGATTTTGATTTAGCACCGGGATGCACTGGGAGATCACTGGGGCCCCTGCTAGCTTCGACATCTTTGTGTTGGGTTCTTGTTTTTGGTTCTGTATCCCGCCGCCTCCTCCTCCTTCTCCTCCTCCCGCCCTCCTCCTCCTGCCCTCCTCCCGACCACCTCATATGCTACTTGTTCACACAACTTGTCATCACACAACTTGCTCACACACAACTCTACTCACACACCTTGTCGTCAACTTGTCATCACACAACTTGCTCACACACAACAACTTGCTCACACACAATTCAACTCACACACAACTCTACTCACACAACCTGCTCACACACAACTCTACTCCCACTGCTACTTGTTCACACAACTTGTCATCACACAACTTGTCATCATACAACTTGCTCACACACAACTCTACTCACACACCTTGTCGTCAACTTGTCATCACACAACTTGCTCACACACAACAACTTGCTCACACACAATTCAATTCACACACAACTCTACTCACACAACTTGCTCACACACAACTCTACTCACACAACTTGCTCACACACAACTCTACTCACACAACTCTACTCCCACTGCTACTTGTTCACACAACTTGTCATCACACAACTTGTCATCACAACTCTACTCACATACTTGGTGACATCGACTTCCACTTTGCGTGGCAGGCGTGGCACTGGCTCCCGTGGCGGCGCTTGGGCCGGAGTGGACGCGGTGGTCGCCGCGGCTTTGGTGTGGCAGGCGTGGCACTTGGAGACATCCACCTGCGTTTCACGTGGCAGGCATGATACTTGGTGACATCGACTTCCACTTTGCGTGGCAGGCGTGGCATTAATGGCACTGGACTGGCTCCGGTGGCGCGCTTGGGCCGGAGTGGACGCGGTGGTCGCCGCGGCTGTTGGCGTGGCAGGTGTGGCACTTGGAGACATCCACCTTCGTCTCACGTGGCAGGCGTGATACTTGGTGACATCGACCTCCACTTTGCGTGGCAGGCGTGGCATTAATGGCACTGGACTGGCTCCGGTGGCGCGCTTGGGTCGGAGTGGACGCGGGGGTCGCCGCGGCTGTTGGCGTGGCAGGCGTGGCACTTATGGCACTGGGCTGGCTCCGGTGGCGCGCTTGGGCCGGAGTGGACGCGGTGGCTGCCGCGGCTGTTGGCGTGGCGGGCGTGGCACTTGGAGACATCCACCTTCGTCTCACGTGGCAGGCGTGATACTTGGTGACATCGACCTCCACTTTGCGTGGCAGGCGTGGCACTTATGGCACTGGGCTGGCTCCGGTGGCGCGCTTGGGCCGGAGTGGACGCGGTGGTCGCCGCGGCTGTTGGCGTGGCAGGCGTGGCACTTGGAGACAACCACCTTCGTTTCACGTGGCAGGCGTGGTACTTGGTGACATCAACTTCCACTTTGCGTGGCAGGCGTGGCCCTTATGGCACTGGGCTGGCTCCAGTGGCGCGCTTGGGCCGGAGTGCACGCGGTGGTCGCCGCGGCTGTTGGCATGGCAGGCATGGCACTTGGAGACATCCACCTTCGTTTCACGTGGCAGGCGTGGTACTTGGTGACATCGACTTCCACTTTGCGAGGCAGGCGTGATACTTGGTGACATCGACTTCCACTTTGCGTGGCAGGCGTGGCACTTATGGCACTGGACTGGCTCCGGTTGCGCGCTTGGGCCGGAGTGGACGCGGTGGTCGCCGCGGCTGTTGGCGTGGCAGGTGTGGCACTTGGAGACATCCACCTTCGTCTCACGTGACAGGCGTGGTACTTGGTGACATCGACTTCGACTTTGCATCGCAGGCGTGGCACTTATGGCACTGGACTGGCTCCGGTGGCGCGCTTGGGCCGGAGTGAATGCGGTGGTCGCCGCGGCTTTGGTGTGGCAGGCGTGGCACTTGGAGACATCCACCTTCGTTTCACGTGGCAGGCGTGGTACTTGGTGACATCGACCTTCACTTTAAGTGGCAGGCGTGGCACTTTGTGACATCTAGCTTCGTTTTGCATGGCAGGCGTGGCACTTGTCACACACAACTTTGTCACACAGCATGTTTTGCCACGCAATCTTTCACACACCAATTTGTCACACACCATCTTTCACACACAACTTTGTCACACGCTCTCTTTCACACACACAACTTTCACACAACTTTGTCACACACCATCTTTGACACACCACTTTGTCACACACCATCTTTCACACCACTTTGTCACACACCCTCTTTGGCACACCATCTTTTACACAGCATCTCTCACACACAAATTTGTCACACACCATCGTTGACACCATCTTTTACACACCACTTTGTCACCCACCATCTTTGACACACCATCTTTCACATCACTTTGTCACACACCATCTTTCACACACCATCTTTCACACAGACACCATCTTTCACACACCATCTTTGACACACCATCTTTCACACACCGCTTTGTCACCCACCATCTTTGACACACCACTTTGTAACACACCATCTTTCACACACCATCTTTGACACACCATGTTTCACACCACGCCTGTGACACACCATCTTTCACATACAACTTTGTCACACACAGCTCTTCACATACAATTTGTTTTACTTCTCGATCCTCCACCACCTCCTTTGTCTTTCCTTCCTTCCCCGTCCCGCTACAACATTTGGAAGAAGATGACATGTGGGGTTATCCGGTCCTTTAATTTTTGAATTACATGTAAAGCCCCTGTTGCATTCCACAAAAAGATGAATGTAAAAATCAAAACATGGTAACAGGGAGAAATCATTCATTTTGATGATGACACGGGCCTCGAACTCCAAGACCACACCCAAATCTGACCTCTGAAGCCTTGGGTTGATTCAAGGCAAAGTTCCCAGGAATGTGTTTGCAAAAGGATCCCCCGAAGTCTGTTGTTTGTTTGTTGTTTGTTCCCGTTTCTTTGGTGCCCAAATCATCAACATTTCTCATGTCAGGACTCCGAGTGGACGCGATGAAGATCACCTTCAAAGGAGGCAGAGACCTGTATCCTATATCCTGATGGTGTGTTTGAATCACTACCAGTTCTTTGTTTCAGAAATTCGCTTTGCACCCATCTCCATGTGTTGATTTGTTTTCATTCAGTTTGTGTTGTGGCTGTGTTGATCTCAGGGGCCCAAGACTCCCAGAACTTTGCGTTTTTTTTCGCCAGGGGCGCTGCCCAAGTTGCTGGGAAGCCGGTGGGACTTTTGTGATGTGCTGGCATCTTTAGAGAACCTCTTCCTCTTCCGTCGCTGGAAAAAATGATGGGAGAGTGGTTTCGTTCGAGGAGGGAAAGAATTGTGCTTATGGCAACTTCTAGATTCTAGCTTCTGTTCTGTGTGACAACGACCTCATTGTTCAGCAGCAACATGTCGAGTCGTTTGTCCCTTCCCTTCTTGTTCCAGCCATAGTTCTCCCATCTCACAATCAATGGGCAAACTTCCAATTTTTAGGTTGTCATCGCTTCTGGAGCGACACAGAACCAGTTCAAGCAAGGTGTTAAAAACGTGAGTAGATTAGCATTCTGATAGATCCCATTGACGCACTTTGTTCGGCAAGCTGAAAATGATTCCAGCTGGCTGCTAGCTATACAATTATTACTATATTATAGTGAACTCACCCCGCCCGATCCAAAATCTTGCGTTTAGTTGGGGGGGACTTCCCGGGAAAGTCGCCCCAACATGCGTTTACTTGCTGTGGATCAGTTGCGTAAGATAGAAAACGATGCTTTAGAAGTAAATTTTGCTTCATTTAGCTTGTGTTTGCACTGGTGAACTTGTTTTTTTGTCATGCCTGGCTCATTCATGTGACCTTCAAGCAAATCCAGTCACGTGTTTACATGGGGTGGTGCCTTTCTAGAGTAGTTGCATCGATTCATCTAATTACAGTAGATGTTGGCCTGCAGCTAGGCTGTAGTCGGGCTGATGCTAAATGGCTGCGGTGCTGAGCTGCTGCCAGACTGCTTCTAGACTCCTGCTATAGAGACTTGCTGCCGGGCTGGTGGTACTGCTGCTAAAGCTGAGGGGGTTCCAAAGCTATTTTCTGGCCTCGTTCGGGCCTCGTTTTGGCCTCGTTTTTGGCCTCGTTCGGAACCCGTTGCGGAAATATTGAGTTGAGATGTAAATCAGAACCCCATAGATTTGTTACCAAAACATATCAAAACATACATGAATCATTCGTTCACATTGTGTTTTGATCCAAAAGATGACATTTCTTAGATGTACTTGTTACACTTTTAACATTCGAATTAGATGCGTTTTGTAACAAAAGAGATATTCTACCCAAACATACATGAATCATGCGTTCACATGGTGTTTGGCTATCAACATATATCGTTTTTGTTGATAATTCTCCATAGTTTAAGACCATTGGGGTGACTTGCGTTCTGATTGTGTTTTGCACATTTGGGATGATAGTTTTTTTGTACTTTTTCATTTTCGTGCTGCGTTTACAATGGGCGAGGAAGTTGGGGTGACTTTTCCTAGCAGTCGGGGGACGTATTCCATGCGGGAATGACACTTGACTGCATTGAGTATCAATTACTAGTAATATCCACGCAATTCGCAGAGGAATTTGGTATATTTAGTCCTCTAGCGAGCTATCAAACCAAGTTGTTTCCCATGCTGAGGTAGTTTGGGCCTCCAGGAGCAAGTCTTGCCGCCAGCGCCCGTCATTGTTGAGGGAGGCGCCAACGATGGAATCCACGTGGCGCAATTTATGGATCACTGGCCTGAGGCGACTGCATGGGGGAAGCCAGGGACACTTGTGAAGGGCTTATGGTATTGAGCCATAAATGCAGGTACAGTACGTATATGCATATATATATATATATTAGGCTGTGTCTTTTTTTAACGCGCGCAGTTTTTAGTAAAGGCAGGAAGTTCGATTTGTGCGAATTATGCCCCCGAATCATACCCCGAATCATACCCCCGAATCATACCCCGAATCATACCCGCGAATCATACCCCCAAAAATCACGATTATGAATGTTTCTTTTGGGATCGTTTGGGATTGCATTGGCCTCACTAGTTATAATGGACCTGACAAGCTAATTGACCAGTGTTGGCCAGACCCGATGATCCCTGGCTACCTTCACACACCTTCACGGAGTGGCGAATCTTCTCCACGCGCACAGAGTCTCATCATTATCCCTAAGCTGGCTGGCTCTGGGTGGCTGGCTGGCTGGCTGGCTAGGTGGCTGGCTCAGTTGCTGCTGCTGGTTGGGTGGCTGGCTATAGGGCTGGCTAGTTGCAGCTGGCTGGCTGCGTGGCTGGCTGCTTGCTGATGAGGCTGATGAGAGGGATGACTCTGGCTGCGGCTGGCTGGCAACCAAACCAAAACTCCGTCGAAGAGGAACATAAGCCTAAGCGTAGCTGAGCTAAAGGTACATGAGAAGAACATCCAGAAGAGACGCCGGCAGGCCGGCGGATATAAATCATAGATGTGCATTGAGATCTTCACATTGTTCATATTCAGGTCCTGTCCAAGGTCGTCTGGCAGGTCGAGCCATGGCAGCCATTGACAAAGTAGCAATCGTAGTAGGTTGACGGTGGGAAAAAGAGACTCAAGCAACAAAGCTTCCTGAATTCAACTAGACGACGGATGGCCCGAGAGCGTAGAGGAGCAGGGTCTTCTCTTGTTAGTATGGAGACGCAATATTAGAAACGATATATGAAAGCTGTGTTATAGGCAGTCGAGAAGAGGAGTATCAAGACAAAATAGTGAGAAGTGCAAGACAATAGTTTGCATCGCAAACACTTTTACACAGACGTTTTTACACTGACGCTTTTACACACAAAGCTTTTACCCACAGAAGCTTTTACACACAGAAGCTTTTACATACAGAAGCTTTTACACACAGAAGCTTTTACATACAAACACTTTTACACACAGACGCTTTTACACACAAACGCTTTGACACACAGACGCTTTTACACACAGACGCTTTTACACACAGACGCCTTTACACACAGACACTTTTACACACAGACGCTTTTTACACACAGACACTTTTTACACACAGACGCTTTGACACACAAACACATTTACACACAGACGCTTTTACACACAGACGCTTTTTACACACAAACGCTTTTTACACACAGACGCTTTGACACACAAACACATTTACACACAGAGGCTTTTACACACAAACACTTTTACACACAGACGCTTTTACACACAGACGCTTTTACACACAGACGCTTTTACACACAGACGCTTTTACACACAGAGGCTTTTACCCGCAGAGACTTTTACACACAGACGCTTTTACACACAGACGCTTTTACACACAGACGCTTTTACACACAGACTTTTACACACAGACGACACACAGACGCTTTTACACACAGTTTGGGTTGCTTTTACCGGCACAGGAAAAATCGCAATTTTTCCTCAGTTTTTACGATCGACCCTCATTTCGTGCGAAAGGGTTGTTCCGCACAAGTAAACTCGCAATTTTTCCTCAGTTTTTGACGATCGACCCTCATTTCGTGCGAAAGGGTTGTTTTAGCACAAGTAAAATCGCAATTTTTCCTCAGTTTTTGACGATCGACCCTCATTTCGTGCGAAAGGGTTGCTCGGGGGCAAGTAAAATCGCAATTTTTCCTCAGTTTTTGACGATCGACCCTCATTTCGTGCGAAAGGGTTGCTCCGGGACAAGTAAAATCGCAATTTTACCGCAGTTTTTGCCGATCGACCCTCATTTCGTGCGAAAGGGTTGCTCCAGGACAAGTCAAATCGCAATTTTACCTCAGTTTTTGCCGATCGACCCTCATTTCGTGCGAAAGGGTTGACGTTTCGTGACTCGCCGCCGGCACCACCCTCGGCCTTAAGAGAGAAAGATAAAAAGAAGGCGGGAGAGAGAAGGTGAGCAGGTGTGAAGATAAGAAGATGTGAAGATGAGCAGATGTGAAGATGAGCAGATGTGAAGATGAGCAGATGTGAAGATGAGCAGATGTGAAGCTGAGAAGATGTGAAGATGGGAAGGTGTGAAGATGAGCAGATGTGAAGATGAGCAGATGTGAAGATGAGCAGATGTGAAGATGAGCAGATGTGAAGATAAGAAGATGCGAAGATAAGAAGATGTGAAGATGAGCAGATGTGAAGATGAGCAGATGTGAAGATGAGCAGATGTGAAGATGAGAAGATGTGAAGATGGGAAGGCGTGAAGATGAGCAGATGTGAAGATGGGAAGGTGTGAAGATGAGCAGATGTGAAGATGAGCAGATGTGAAGATGAGAAGGTGTGAAGATGGGAAGGTGTGAAGATGAGCAGATGTGAAGATGGGAAGGTGTGAAGATGAGCAGATGTGAAGATGAGAGGATGTGAAGATGAGCAGATGTGAAGATGAGAGGATGTGAAGATGAGAGGATGTAAAGATGAAAAGATGTGAAGATGAGAGGATGTGAAGATGAGATGTGAAGATGAGAGGATGTGAAGATGAGAGGATGTGAAGATGAGAGGATGTGAAGATGAAAAGATGTGAAGATGATGAGAAGATGTGAAGATGAGAGAATGTGAAGATGAGAAGATGAGAGAATGTGAAGATGAGATGTGAAGATGAGAAGATGTTTTACAGACCCCCACTATTGGAAGAACCCTGCGCTCAGACGCTCTCGGGAAAAAAAGATGGGTTTCCGAATCATACCCCGAATCATGCCCGAATCATACCCGAATCATACCTCAAACTTCCCAATTCTGAACCTTGGTACATTTGCAAGATCAGAACTTGTGTTTTGTGAGCTCTTTTCTTTGCAGCCATTCGCCACGGGCTACACTACACCTCCTGCTGCTTCTGAGAAAAATCCGACAAGAGCACCCTGCAGCGTGCAGCAGCACCCTTCACTAGCACCCTTGCAGCACGAGTTGGGTACAGTACATACCCTCCTTGCAGCACCCTGAAGCATCACCCCTTGCAGCAGCACCAGCAGGCTAGCTCGACAGCACCCTCAAGCAGCACCTTCCACCCGCATCCACTCACCAGCATGCCCACTCCAAAGCAGGGTTTACAGCACACACCACTCTGACAGCAGCACGCACAGCGTCAACAGCATGCCAGCTCCAAAGCGCTCCACGTATGGTATAATTGCCAACCGTTGAAACATTTTCGGAGTAAGTGTGGGTAAATAAGCATACGTGGAGGATGCAGGGAAACACTAAATCAAGGTCCGCGAATCATACCCACGAATCATACCCCGAATCATACCCACGAATCATACCCCCTAGTCAAACTTCCCGGGTTGGACACGGTATTTTGAGACATACCCTTAATAATATATATATAATACATGTATATGGATTTATCAATATATATATATATAAATATATATATATATATTTATTTATATATACATATATATTTAAATATATATATATTTATATATATTTATATTTAAATATATATATATTATATATATAAATATAAATATATAAATATATAAATATGTGTGTGTGAGTGTGAGAGAGAGAGAGAGGGAGTGTTTTAGGCATTTGATCCCACTATTACATACTATTACGTCTCATTTGATCTTATTCCCTGATTTCACCTTTATGGTTATCATCCAATAATATCCAATATATTCATGATTATCAATGATTATATATATGCAATTCGAAACCATGCCGCGCCTGACATTCATGTGGGAGTACCGGGTTGCTCTGTGGGCAGCTGGTGCATCTCGAGTCCATCTCGCGCTCTGGGGTCCCTCTCGCGCTCTCTGGTCCATCTCGTGTGCTTGACCCATTTTGCGCGTGTTTTTTCTCGATTTTGCTTCGATTTTTGGAGCGATTGTGCTTGCTTGACGTGAGTGGATGAGGCTGGATTCTGACATCAATCCGGTTGATGAATCGTATCGATTTTTTGGCCCCAAAACGCGCACAACATTTTTTGAAACCATTTGGTATTTTTGGCATTTGCTCTGAGCCTCTCAAAAGCAAATTGCGGCTCATGTGCGCTTAAAAAAAAATGATGGGCCGCTAAAAAAAAGAGACTGGACACACGATGTGTTTCGAAAGCCAAAGTTTGCTTAATTTGATTCCCTCTCATTGCCTTGCTGTGTTGTTTTTATTGGCCTACTAGTACTTGTTTTTTTTTCATATGTCTTTGATTTACTTCGATTTTGGCAACGAAATTGGTCAGCCATTGGGAGTGGGTAAGGTCAGCTTCGAATGACTATGCAAATTTCAGAGCGAGAGAGAGAGAGAGAGAGAAAGAGATCACTGACAGCTCACCTTTTTTTGGAAAGTTTACACAGGCCAAGGTGTTGGCATTTGAAGCGGACAAGAACCTTGGAAGAAAGCGAAGACGGTGGAGCATTTCATGGGGATATGATGGGGATATAATTGGGATATAATTGGGACCGCAGATAGATTTTCGGTGTTTTTGTATGATTAACCCAACTATCGAATCTCAATGTTTGAGCCATGCCCTTACGTTGAAATGCCTGATGGTTCACCTCTTGATGTTTGATTTACTGTCGGACATCACGGCAAAATTCAAGGACTCAGTTAGTGAGGTTTTTTGCCACTCGGTTCAATGCAAATGGGGATTGGGGCACGATCACCTGCATGGTGATGGATGTCCTTTGCTCATGATCCAGCATCTATGTTTCACTACGCAGATGGTGCAGAAAGTAGCTGGTGAGGCAAGTGAGGTACCCAATCCAATGCATTTTTGAGAACCCATGAGCCTCCACAGTTTCAGCCAGCCATCTTAGTCCACAGGCGATAATGTGTCTGCAAGCTTTGGCGCTTGCCATGGTCACCTAATGCCTCAGGGTCGACTTGGCCTGGTCAATAGAGCACTACTCTTACTGTTTTACAGGGATAGGTGCAACTCTATCCCAGTGGGTAAGCCGACTGGTGAAAGGTTAGTCCGTGGACGTTTCAAGCCATCAAGAGAGGGAAAATATGCGCCTGTATGCACAGGCTGAACTCTTGGAGAGGGCGATGGAGAGAGAGAGAGAGAGACAGAGACAGAGACAGAGACAGATACATATACATATACATATACATGTACATGAACGCGCGCGCGCACACACAGGCACGATACGTACATTATGTGCTATATACAGCTATATACTGTATATGAATACACGACACGATGTGATATGTAATCTATATAATATGCCTCGATATATATATATATATAATTTTATATATGTAGAGAGATATACATATAGAATTATATATATATACGTATTATTATTTTTATGCATAGATATATATATATATATCAATTTATCTATTTACATATTTGTTACATTTGCATACATGTATGTGTGTGCACGAACAATTGTGCATCCTACAATCCCAGTTTAGTCCCAGTATCACCTCACTAAAACCCCTCTAAAATCCCACTTTAAGATATTATATACAGTAAAATGACATATCTCCGGTGGCACCTATCTTTTTAGAGATGTTTCAGGTTTTTCGGAGTATCGATGCTTTTCTCTGCATGAGGACCTGCTTCGCCCATTTGGTGCGGAACTTGGGCCCACGGATCAAGCAGAGAAGTCACAGGTGAGCTCTCGTGATTATCTTAAGGTGGGCTAAAACAACAAAAAGTTGGGTTTAATCTAAGCAACACAAATGGGGATTGAACCAACAACAAATAGGTATTTACAGGTATTTACAGTATATAGCCGGCAAACATGGATACAGTATTCAATCAAGAAAAGATCGGGAGTTATCTAATCAACGGGAGAAAATGGAGATTTAAAGAGCAACACGACGAGGAGTATCCACGACATATAGCGCCGTCACCCAACAAAAATCGGAAGCACGCGTCATCATGCAGCATTGTCATGCCGCCATGGCCACCAACACACACACACACACAGATACATGGGGATATTCACCAACTGGATAGGGTGGGAACCACACATTTCCAGTCACTATAAGTATTCAACCGTCCAATACTGTAGGTCAGCGAATTTTGAGACATACTTAAATGAGTTGTTCATCTCAGTTGACATATGTTTGTTGATTGTTGAGGACCTTTGGATTAGTATGGGATGGTTGGTGAACTAGGCATTTTAAGAAAAAGAAACTAGCAGTAGATGAGGACATTTTCCGGCCCTAGTTAGATGGTGAACCCCAACTTCAACACTTGTGTAGCAGCGGAATCCTGACAAATGGTGTGAAAACCCTCAAGCCATCTGAGGCCCCACCAGATCTCCCATGGTTTTTCCATACAGGTCGCGGCTCTACGGTGTGGCGCTGGCCGGGCAGATGGGCGTCCGCGAAATGTTCCTGCGAGATGGGAACCACACATCAGCGGTGAATATGCTCTTCGAACCCACGGATCAGCCGCGCGGCTGCTGATGGGAATAATTAGTGGGTGTTTAGTGGGGGGGACGACTCCCTGAAGTTAGGAGCGTTAACGTTTGGCTTGTCCTAGAACGAATGACCTTAAAGCACATACCGAATACTTGCCATTTTTGGTGGGATTATATCGATGTTCAAACTTCAAATATGACTGATGTATTGAAGTTGTTGCATCATTATACCATGAACTACCATATCATTCCTTATAACTTATAATATTGTGCCCAAGGCCCAAGACTGTGATTTCACAAATCAGCTTTATTTGGCCACAGAACTTAGCGTGCAACCCCAAACAGCAGTAGGATCGAACACAATGATCACCGGCTTGGTGATCATGCTACTAGCTGCCGATCGCTCACACGGTTGCTGGAGATTGGAGGTGATTGTTTCTTTTCATTCAAAGGATCTCGGACAGTTGCTTGGAAGATGTGAGAATTCCAAGGTTTGGGCTGGAAAGAGTACGGATACTAATCTATTTGTGGATGGAAGCGTTTAGAAAGAACATGAAAGAACTAATTACTCCGCTTGACTTTTTGCAATCGGACTCTCGCTCTGGTGCCCAGGTATGGGGAGCACTATTCTCATGTGAAATGGAGGGAGGAGACCCAGTTTGTTGTTTCTGTGACGCGGGGCCTCCCAAGATGCAGGGCTGGTGGCTGGGGTGTTGGCTGGTCTCTGACTTCTCTTGACCTTCTCTTGACCTGAAAGAAGACGAGCAAGGGGGACTGGATGTAGTAGAATGATGCAATGTAGATATGTAATATATACATATACATATAATGTTTAAAAAATATATGTATATATAGCGATACAGTATATAGTTGATAATGATGCGTTCATGATCATGATTGAAAGGGATTTGCAAACACTGACCTGTTTCAAGCGTTTTCAATAGGTATCACATGGGAAAACACGCACACATTGTCCTTTCAGTCGAATGCCGAATTTCATTTTGCTGGTGACCTTTCAGCCTTTGTCAGGCTGGATTCCCTGCAGAATGATGGCGTTGACAGGGTAGACTTCCTCGAGCTGGATATCCAATGCGCTGAGTTCGAGGTGAGGCACCAAAGAGGAGTTCCACCCAACTGGGTTTGAATAAACCGTGAAATTGTGAGATTTTTTGGGGTACCTAAGTTTCACACCAAGCCAAGTGAAGTTGTGGTCTCAGCAAACCTCATCTCACCGAGATTGCAGTGGAACAGCCAGGGGCCTAGGATGGCCTTGCACCCAATCCACATTGGTTTCAGATGGCTTTCAGCTGTCAGCCATTCAGGTGCTGAACTCTTCCACTGAAATCCTCCCCACCGTCACCATGGTGGTGCTGGAGTCCTGTTTGCCACCGGGGATGTGCAAAGATGCTCCCAAGTGGCCGGAGCTCCATGTCACTCAGAGCTGGAGGGGTTGCTGGATGTTCCAATGGCCCTGCGCCAAAAACTACTGTAAAACTACTGTTGATGTGATTTATTTGTATGTTTCCATTTGTGCCTTACACTTAAATGGATCATTGTTGAGATTGTTCAGACCAGATTGGAATATCCAACCATATCAATGAAAACAAGAATCGCACTTTTGAAGGGGATAAGGACTCGAACAGATCACTCTTGAAGGAGCATACGTCTCCATCATTAAACTTTGCCAGGTGTTCCGTCCAAACATGGTCGGTCTCAGACTCTATTTACGGGAACATGTCATGTAAAACGACAAGAGGTTTGGTGAGTCTAGTCGTCATTTTCAGGAAGCGAAGTATTTGACTTCATGGTTGGCATTGCAAAACTGCAGGTTGCCCTATCGACTTCCAAGAAATCCTGGACAAATGTATGGCCTATAAAAACATGAAGAAAACATCGAAAACCATGAAAAGGCATGGAAAAGGTATGGAAAACATGGTCAAATCCTCTGGAAAAACCATCGGATCCAGGCGATGCTCCGAAAGAAGGGTTTCGAGCTGCTGGTGGCGGCCAACGATCCCCTGGAAGAACCGGAAACTCGGCAGGTTGGATAGAAAAACAGAGATGATGTGAGGTAGACCATGGCAAACCCAATAACATACATAGTTAATTAATTGATAGCCCATCCCCAATAGAGATTTATTTGTTGGGTATGCCCCTACTTGGGATGATGTAAAATGACCCGAAAAATGGTTGCTGAATGGAACGGTTTTTAATTGGGCTTGCCACATTGTAATTACATTATATCATGTTATATCCATCCCAGCCCAGCCCAGCCCAGCCCATCCCATCCCATCCCATCCATCCATTTGGCATTTCCAAACATTGAAATAGTGGGAATCGTCATCAGCCCATGAAAGAGCAAAAACAATGTCAGCAGTGAGACGGCTTGCCTACGTAGCTGATGAATGCACATGTTGGCTTCGCAACCCGGACACTTGGATGGGGTGTTTGAATCTCTGTTACAATGGGGAAAACAAGTTGCCCAGGTGTACGGTGTAAAAAGATGGGCGAACTCTCTCAGAGATATGATATATACATGGATCATCATGGATCTATGATGATCTATGCGCGTGTATTTATACATATGTATTATGGGTAAATTGTGCTGATCCGTTCCTTAGTTAAAGATTGCTCACAGGCCTTATGGTTTTGCCCGTCAGGTCAAGGTCTATCCTGTAGACGGTGGAATCCAACTGAAGATGTTTGGAAGTTTGGTTTCGAAAGTGGTTTAACCCAAAACATAAACCACATGTTTCCCGCAGTACACACCGGTCACTGACCATTCTTGTGTGAACATTAATATCTTGTTGGTGGTGTCATATTTCATTTTGTCAAGAAAGCTCCATCCAAGTTCCGTCCCAATGAGCCTGCACATATCCATACCTATCTCTATCTCTATCTCTAATTACATATATATATATACATATATATATATACGTACTTACGTCCATAAAATTTAGATAGTGGCCCCAACTCACCGATCCGATCAGGACATGTGCTTCGATGCCGTTTATGTGAACCTGGCCCTGGAACCCACCGCCGCTCTGGCGGCGCTGGACGTGGCCTTGGAGTTGGATGGTGATTGAAAAATGGCGGCCGATGGGGGGAAGATCCAACTGGGGAAATCTGGGGAAAAAATGGGATACCAATGGATATCTCCTTGGTAAAATGAGAAATTCATTGGGGAAAAAGGGCAGCTCCAAAACGTTGGATTTTGCAGTCTAGGAGTCTAGCAAATTGAAATAGGAATTGTCATACGCCGACAAACACAAGATGGGTTGCTGTGCGCAGGAACTCTATGCCTTAAACCCGACACCCTAGAAACCGAAAGCCTGAAACCCCGAACCCTTAAACCACAAAACTGAAACCCTAAAGGCCTAAAGACAAATTGTAAAGCTAGTGTTTTTGCAGCCTAATCCAAACTGTAAAACCCTCATGCCTCAACCCTGACTTTGGCTGATTAGTCTGTAGTCAAAGTTGCAAAGAAGATGGTGTGTGTGTGTGTGGAACATCTGAAGAGATGTAAAACTTCTACCTTGATTGACGGAATTGCTTTTTCTTATCAGGTTCTTTGCCATTACAATGAACCAGTTTTGAGTATTTTACCAGGCGTTTATCCAATCTCCTTTTCAATTGCAGGGGGCGTGACGGTTGATTTCCTTGTCACGCCAACGAAGCTATGGAAATCAACTGGATGGAAGTTTGGACGCAAACTTCTGTACCTGCAGTGTCGCTCCTGGGCGCATTCAAGTCGCAGCTGGGGGACACGTCATACTGTGTTTTCTGTTGCTGTTTAACTGCACTGTCAAGCGCCTACCAAACTTCAACCTGAGGTTTCTGACTTCTGATCATTCAATGGCTCCTGTCAGGTTTAATTGGAGTGTTTTTGCACGTAAGATGCATTCCACATCAGAATTCGCAAAGATGCTTCTGAGCAAGTGTGTGATTCATGCTGGATTCGTCAAGGTGGCATGAACCCCTCGGGGAAAGCCTTTCCAGGCTAAAAATTTACACGTTGAAACGATCTCTGAATTGACACTTTTGAATTAGCAATTCGTCTAAGTAACGTGAAACAGCTGGCCATTTTTCGGTTTTCACCCTGTCGACTGTCGTTTGGTTGAACAGCATGCCGCGGTGCCTGGCTTCACCTTTTCTTTTGTCTGAATTTACACTTTTGAATTAGTAATTCGTTTAAGTAAAGTGAACAGCTGGCCATTTTTCGGTTTTCACCCTGTCGAATGTCGTTTGGTTGAACAACGTGCCGCTGTGCCTGGCTTCACCTTCTTTCATGAAAAATCAGGCAATAGGACATGCTTTAGGTGTGGTCTTTCTTTCTTTTTATGGTCGTTGGTGAGGTTCAATTGTGCACGTAATTCAGGGGTTGACGACGTAAGCCGTTTACAGGGTTGTGACATGAAAGCCGAGGGCCTTTGAGCCTTATCACGACAACTGCACGTAATGTGGATGCATCTACACGCGAACGACTTGTACACGCGAACGACTTGTGGGAGATGGTCGCATGTACACGCGGGCAAGTTCGCAACTACACGCGAATAGGAAACGTGCATTTGTTGCTTGTAAAATACAATGAAAATCGAAACTTGTGGTATAGTGCTGTTTCTATCTGCAGCCATGCGTGGAAGTTGGTTTAAGCAGGCTATCTGCGCGGCCATGGTCGCAACTACACGCGAATAGGAAACGTCTTTAATGTACGTTATCTATCTATGTATCTTTCTATCTAGCTAGCTAGCTATCTATGTATGTATGTACCTGCTTATCTATCTATCTCTCTATCTCTCTATCTATCTCTCTATCTCTCTATCGATCTATCTATCTATCTAGCTAGCTAGCTATCTATCTATCTCTCTATCTCTCTATCTCTCTATCTCTCTATCTCTCTATCGATCTATCTATCTATCTAGCTAGCTATCTATCTATCTAAGTAAAATGGAGACAATAGTTTCGTGGAACGCAGGGGGGGAAGTTTAAATAAAGAAGTAAAATGGAGACAATAGTTTAGTGGAACGCAGGGGGGAAAATTTTAAAGAAAGAAGTAAAATGGAGACAATGGGTTAGTGGAACGCAGGGGGGGGGGAAGTTTAAATAAAGAAGTAGAATGGAGACAATAGTTTACTGGAACGCAGGGGGGGGAAGTTTAAATAAAGAAGTAGAATGGAGACAATAGTTTAGTGGAACCGGGGGGGGAAGTTTAAATAAAGAAGTAAAATGGAGACAATAGTTGAGTGGAACGCGGGGAGGGAAATTTCAAATAAAGAAGTAAAATGGAGACAAAAGTTTAGTGGAACGCAGGGGGGGGAAGTGTAAATAAAGGGAGACAATGGTTTAGTGGAACGCAGGGGGGGGGAAGTTAAAATATAGAAGTAGAATGGAGACAATGGTTTAGTGGAACGAGGGGGGGAAGTTTAGATACAGAAGTAGAATGGAGACAATGGTTTAGTGGAAAGTTTAAATAAAGAAGCAAATGGAACGGGGGGGGAAGTTTAAATAAAGAAGTAAAATGGAGACAATAGTTTAGTGGAACGCAGGGGGGGAAGTTTAAATAAAGAAGTAGAATGGAGACAATAGTTCAGTGGAACGCAGGGGGGGGAAGTTTAAATAAAGAAGTCAAATGGAGACAATAGCTTAATGGAACGCAGGGGGGGTAAGTTTAAATAAAGAAGTAAAATGGAGACAATAGTTTAGTGGATAAAGAAGTAGAGTTGAGACAATGGCTTAGTGGAACGCAGGGGGGGGAAGTTTAAATAGAGAAGTAAAATGGAGACAATAGTTTAGTGGAATCAAGGGGGAGGGAAGTTTAAATAAAGAAGTATATAAAATGGAGACAATGGTTTAGTGGAAAGCAGGGGGAGGAAGTTTAAATCAAGAAGTAGAATGGAGACAATGGGTTAGTGGAACGCAGGGGTGGGGAAGTTTAAATAAAGAAGTAAAATGGATACAATAGTTTAGTGGCACACAGGGGGAGGAAGTTTAAGTAAAGAAGAAAAATGGAGACAATAGTTCAGTGGAACGCAGGTATGAGTAGTGCCTGTGTCTGCTGAGCAGCAAGAAAGATGATAAGGTTGCTGTGCCTGTGTGTGCACAGAAACATGAACGTTATTACTCCACCCCACCCCACCCAACCCCACCAGTAACGGATCATGAAAGAGTAATGCCTGTGTCTGCTGAACAGCAAGAAAGATGATAAGGTTGCTGTGCCTGTGCGTGCACAGAAACATGAACGTTATCACCCCACCCCATATCCAGAGTAGTGGTGTAAACATGTGACCGCGGGTGACGGTCACATGTGTGTACATGTGACCGTCACTTGCGTGCGCAGATGACCGCACCTGTGTGTACATGTGACCGTGGGTCTCGCTGGTGTGTACATGTGACCGTCACTTGCGTGCGCAGGTGACCGTAAGGCTCGAAAAAGGTCTCTGTGTGTACATGTGACCTGGATTTGCGTGCGCGGATGACCCCTTGACCTACTTCTTTCATCAACTAGGTCCCCATTGGTCCCCTATCTCATGCGCGCTTCCCCTCTCTCGGTCAGGTTAGGGTCCTTCGCGTTCCTAGGTAAGCTTTGGCTCTCGCCTTGTAGGTTGTGTCAGGCGCTTCTGTCCGCCCCCCCCTCCTCTGGATTTTCCTTGCCCTTTCAGGGTTTGCCCGTTTCGGGCCAGGTGTGTTGGTGTTGGTGTTCTCTCTTTTTCCTTTTCCTTTTTGCGTTCCCCCTCTTGTGTTCCGGTTAAGCTATTGTCATCTCATTTTCATCGTCATCTCATTTTCATCTTTCCTTCATCTTCACCTTCATCTCATTCGTCGGGGCCTTAAAAAGCCTCGCGGCAGCAGGGCGTGTGTGTGGAACATCTGAAGAGATGTAAAACTTCTACCTTGATTGACGGAATTGCTTTTTCTTATCAGGCTCTTTGCCATTACAATGAACCAGTTTTGAGTATTTTACCAGGCGTTTATCCAATCTCCTTTTCAATTGCAGGGGGCGTGACGGTTGATTTCCTAGTCACGCCAACGAAGCTATGGAAATCAACTGGATGGAAGTTTGGACGCAAACTTCTGTACCTGCAGTGTCGCTCCTGGGCGCATTCAAGTCGCAGCTGGGGGGCACGTCATACTGTGTTTTCTGTTGTTGTTTAACTGCACTGTCAAGTGCCTACCAAACTTCAACCTGAGGTTTCTCACTTCTGATCATTCAATGGGTCCTGTCAGGTTTAATTGGAGTGTTTTTGCACGTAAGATGCATTCCACATCAGAATTCGCAAAGATGTTTCTGAGCAAGTGTGTGCGTGTGTGCGAATCGGGATGTTTGCACCTAATTTAACATGGCTAGCTGGAAAATCCCCTTGGGCAAACATGATTGAAGAGACTCTCTGGCTTCAACAAGGGGAGAAACTCGTCACACCGCACTGGCAGCTGCAGGCCGCCTTTTTCACCTTCGGTGCTGCAGCCAAGTGGGCTAGGGGGTCATCATTCCCCATGGATAAGGGTTTTCCAAAGAAGAAATCATCCCATCGGGATATATGGAAAACATAGCGGCAACAAATTGATTCTGTACCAAATGTATATTGGGTTGGTTTCGGTAGTGTTTAACCATCAAAAACGAAAATTTAATCAAGCACATACTGATACAAATATATGTATATGATTGGTATATGAACATGGGTTAGATTTATTGGACAATAGGTGTACCCGGCTTGAATCATTTTCCAAATTCCCCACCACTCTGCCCCCCAATTCATGACTATGTGACTATATCCAATTCATTCGATTCCGCCTGTTTTTTCCGGCAAATGTTTGGTCACAACTTCAGGCTGGGGAAACTCACAAAGTTCGGTCATGGTTTTGTATTTTTTGGTAGAAACCATACACTTTGAAGTGCCCAATTTGGAGGATAAAGGCAAGGATAGCAACCATGAGATTGATTCAAAGGATACTAATTGCATGAAAAAACTTGAATGATGATATTGAAACATGCCCCGCAACACGAAACTAAATTCCAGGAACAGTCTATTTCTAGATGATCTGATGGCAACCAGGCGACTACAGTTTACGGGGTATGTCAACCACCTTCAAGTCTCCTACTAACGCCTAGTCAATGGGAATGCCATTTATTCATTCCATGGACATGCGTTATTTGAAGGCTAGATACCTGGTTCTCGTTGGTCAACATCCCCACGAAGATTGGTAAATACCGTTATTTCATCTATAATCAGCAATTAGTTTGATTGACGTGAATCCAGGTGCCTGCGACAAGGCTGGGAATAGCAGAGATTTTAGAAAATTATTCTTAAAAAAATATGAATTTAATTCTAATATTATTAGATTTGATTTCCAATTATTTACCTGGACCCTTAGTTTGTAGAGATATGTAGAGATATAGATATAGATATATATTTTATTATATATATAGGTTTTTTTAAAAAAAAAATAATATTATTTACTAGAAATAGATAATTTTTGAAATAAAATAATAAGAATTTTATATATTTAATATAA